CCAAGGGCTCTGGCAGTTGCTTGTTTTGATCTTTCCCAGTTCATTCAACACCATCCAGCTGGGAGAGTTATAGTGACAGACCTCAAGGCCAAGGAAAGAGTGATGAAACTGATGAATCATGAGAATGCTGAGGTTACCAAATATGCCCTCCTCTGCATTCAGAGGCTCTTCCTAGGCGCCAAGTATGCCAGCTTTCTGCAGGCTTAACTCGGTTTTCTCTCCACTTATGTGTAAGTTACATACTAAACCCATCTACTTAAACACCCAAGTTGCTGGAGCTAAAGGGGTGACTCATTTTATCAAGTTATTATCTTCTTAAATTTTTTGGGGTTGGTGTGAATCAACGAGAGATTTTATTCATTTCTTGCATTCCCAGAATATTCTTGGGCATATTGAATAAAGTCACCAGGGTTTCTTACCTTGTGTTTTACTCTTTGATGTGTATTGATTTAAAATTGAAGAGATCTCTCTGAGACATTGAGTTTAAAGCAAGTGAAAAGTTCGTTTCTTTTTTCGTAATCTGCAATTTGAGTTTCATATTGCAATGATCTTCAATTTTTTTCTACCGTTTTCTGAATGTTTCAAGTAACATCTAGTAGAATATCACAAAATCCCTTTAGAATAGAGGAAGAAAGCAGAGAAATTCCCATTAGAAAGCAGAGAAAACCCCATTAGAATAGAGGAAGAAAGCAGAGAAAATCCCATTAGAAAAGAGGAAAGCAGGGAAGGGAAGATAGAAAATTGAGTGATTGAATTGAAACATCTGTTCTGTTATCGTCAAGGTTCGATTTCGCTTTAGATTTTACAGAAAGAAGGAGTTTCCATAAAAACAGAGACCTTCCTTCAACCTCAGTATCACCGGAAGAAACCCTTTTTCATAATACAAAACAAATCTAAACGCCGAGGAACATCAACAACCAAACAAAAACAAACACATCTTACATGTCGACAGACACGCGTTTGTACAGTCCCGAAGGCAGCCTGGGAGTGGCCACAGCCTGCACTGGCGTCTTCATGTACGACACCAATCCAGGGCTCTCCGACATGTCGATCTCCTCCGCCTTCATCCCCGGCGACGGTGTCCATTCGAAGTGGTGCAGAAGGTGCCCCAACATTGAGGTCACCAAATTGATTCCCAATTGAGCCCCTGGGCATACCCTCCGCCCTGCCCCGAATGGCAGCAGCCGGAGATCGTGCCCTTTCATGTCCACATCCTCTTCTAAGAACCTCTCCGGCCGAAATTCCTCTGCGTTCTTCCACACCGCCGGGTCACGTGCCACTGCCCACACGTTCACATGCACGTTCGAGCCTTTGGGGATGTCGTAGCCGCCGATCTTCACGTTGGCGTTTGATCGATGCGGCAGCATCAATGGCGTCGGTGGATGTAATCTCATTGCCTCCTTCACGACGCATTGGAGATACGGAAGGTTCGAGAAGTCGTTCTCAGTCATGATTCGATCTACTCCAACCGCATTGTCTAGTTCCTCCTGAACCTTCTTCTGCACTCTAGGGTTCCTTACGATCTCCGCCATCGCCCATTCCACCGAAATCGCCGTCGTGTCCATGCCGGCAGTGATCATATCCTGCATCACATCCACATCCACATCAACAAGAGATCCAAATCCTCGAAGACTGTTCTTCGATTCATTTCACAGAGTTGAATAGAGATCGAAATCAGTGAAAACTGTTCTTCACTGAGAGAGAGAGGGGAAATCGCATAACGTACCCATAGGAGGCCGATGATAGTGTCTTCACTGAGATCATACTTATCTTGGAGAGTAAGTAGAGCATCAACGAAGTGGTTCTTGACATTGCCGCTCTGGTTGCGAGCTTTGGTGTGCTCTTCCATGATGGCGCGAGTGAGGCGGTCGCGACGGGCACCATGCTTGGCGAAGGCTTCTTCTTCGAGAGGGAACATCCAGCGAAGCCAAGGGATGTGCTCAGCCATGGCCAGGGAGGCGCCGAGCTTGAGGCCATTGGCGACAATGGCCTTGAATTCCAGGCCCTGCTCGTCCATAACGCCATCGGAGTTGACGAACCTCTTCCCGAATGCGAGTCTGGTGATGTTGTTGAATGAAACCGCTCCCAGAAATTCCCTCACCTTCACACTCTTTCCTGACTTCTCTGTGATGCAAAACCCAAATTCCAATTTTCTTTTTAATTATTATAATTTTTAAAGTTTTTCAATATTTTTATTAATTTAGCCAATTACCACCCCCCTAAAATTAATAAATCAAAATCAAAATGATTAAATATTAAGAAATAATAATAATAAATTAATTAAAAATTCCAACTGGAGAGTTGACTCTGGATATTTCCTTATTATTTTAATTTTAAAAATCATCATAGAATTGTTTATAAAATGGTTACAATCCACAAGAACGTGATATTTAAAAAAACAATAACAACAAATTATTAAAATTTTAATTACTAAAGGTTAATATTAATAAAGAATAAAAGTATTTTTAAACAAATATTTACCAAAAAAAGTATTTATTTTCATTATTTAATGTTTTTTTAACTCAATCTAATTATAATTTTTTTAAATAGTTAAAAATTATTTTAGACAGGTAAATAATAAAAATAATAAATTCAAAATTAAATAAAAAAAATAAGTATATATAATTGAATATTTTTTAAAATTAACAAATGAGTTGACATATTTATTTCCTTCCTAATAACGAGGACCGTTTTTAATTATTTGCAGAAACAAAATAGCATTAAATAATTATATTAATGAGGTGGGGGACCATTACTTCGCAGCCACGAAAGCAAAAAAATGGGTAAGAAATTGAAGGTACCAGGACTGGTGCAGAGCTTGAAGATGTCTTCAACCATGGCGGAAACTTCATCTTCTCGAATGGGCCTCAGCGATTCAAGTCGCTTAGGGGAGAACAGTTCAATGGTGCACACTTTCCTCACCTTCACATAGTGGGGCCCATAGTCCGCCCAAATCAGGTCCTTCCCGTCGCGGCTGAATTTCGCCGCCGACCGAGTCCGGTGCCGGTCAGCCAGGCTCTGGTCGTGCTCCTTCAGCACCGCCCTCGCCAGCTCCGTGTTCGACACCACCACGTTCAGCGTCGACCCGAACCACACCGATATGATTGGACCGTACTGCTTCGCCCAGTCCGCGTAGCATCGGAACCGGACCGGCTTCACGTCGTACAGGTTTCCGACCACCGGAAGCGGGCGTGGCCCCGGTGGGAGCTTGAAGCGGAGGCGGTTGTAGAGGTTGTAGGCGAGGAGGAGGAGGAGGAGGAGGAGGAGAGAGAGAGGGATGAGAGAGAGGACCATTTTGGAATTATAATTATTTTTTTTAATTTGTTTTTGGATTATGAAGAAATTTGGGAATGTGGGAGAGGTTGATATATGAAGGAAGGGAGTTGGTGGAGTAAAGACTTTTAATCATTATTTTCTATTTTCCCAATTTTATTTTTCCATTTTAGTAATTACATTAAATATAACGCTAAAATTAATAAATTATTATTATTTTAATTAAGTGCACTGTACTCACTTCTTATAATTAATTTTTAATTTTTAATTTTTAATTTTATTTATTGAAATAATAATATTAATCTCAATAATATTTTAACTATTATATATATATATATATATGGTAATAAAATGCAAAAGTGCAATTTATTTTAATTTTTTTTTATAAAAATCAACCGAAATTTCTTCAAATTGAATTTTGGGTTTAGTTAAATAATGTATTTTATTATAAAGTGGAGAAATATTAATTAAATTTTAAACAAATTACAATATATTTAAAAGTATAGGGTTAAAAAAGGGAAAATTTTGAAAGAAGATTGTGGAGCGTGTATTGCACGAGGTGGTTGGAGAGGGTGGGGGTGGTTTTAGGGAGTCCATTAGGTGAGGTAGGTAAGGGGTAGAAATGGAAATAAGAAAAAAGAAGGGAGAGTGCGTTTGTTGGGTGCAAGGAGAAGCCGGTGGAGGTTGGTGAGATGTGTGGTTGTTGATGAAGAGCTCTTATTCTCTGCTCCCCGTATCATTGTTGTCTCTTCTTCCACCACTCATATTTCGACACATCATTTTCCAATTTCATTAAATTCTTACCAAAAAATATATATATATATGTTTAATATTTTTGCTCATTTTAAGTATATATGTTTAATTTAATTTTAGAATTTCTCTATTAAATGGAATAATTTAATCCATTTTTTTTAGTAAAAACGTCATACTATTTCCCTGTCCTTTGACACATGTGCATCATCATAGACGTGACAGTCAAACACCTGATGTTAGAGATTAAAATAAAACATTTTCAAAATTTCGAGAGTAACAATATAAAGATAAAACATTTTCAATTTGAAACTGTTCGTTAAGCTAAAAAAACACGGTGAATTGAGAACATGGTATGAGGTAGGTGGATGGGTTGAGTGATATGATAATGGATAATGTGGTTGGAGAAACATCATAGATTGTGGGCTCATTTTGCAGTTTAACCTTAATCATATCTTAATATCAAATATTAATTAATAATTTAATACTAGGCTTGTGGCTCGATATTTTGATCAGATAAGAGATTTGGGTTCGACACTGGATGAGGTTGGCATTAGTCTTGAAAATAAACTTTCGAAGAGAAATTGGCTCGGTTACCCTCCAAAATAAGAGCGTTGTGTTCTAAAGGATTTGGCTCGATTACCCTCCAACATAAACCAAAACCTAGACGATGGTCATTGACTTGATCATGAATTTATAAGTAAACAATACTACTTTTATAGATACGGGGTTTTTTGGGAAAACCAAAAACAAAAGCCAGGAGAGCTAATGGTCAAAGTGTGGACACTATCATGCCATTGTAGAGATTCATGATTCATAACAATACTTCGTACGTGTGCGAGTATTTTTGTTAAAGATATTTAGTATTAAATTATAGTTTACCCTATATATGATATTTTATTATAAGACAAATATTGCTGGTTCTCATTATCTTTCTATTTATTACTATTTCGATATAGAAATTTTAGTCATTTTTCTTACCCATAAGTGGCGGCCAACAGGTTTCTATCCCAGCCGATGGACCAGGAGTGGCGGGGGTGGTCCATGGCAAGGGTGACGACAATGGCTTGAAGGGTTCCTAAAAAGCAAACCATGGTGGTGAGAGAAAGATGGGCTGTGTATTTTCTCAAGGTTATGGCTTGGAGAATGAAGAAGGCGGCCCAAGCTAGAGTGGCGATGATGAGGAAGATGGAGCCTTTGATGACCTTTCCGTCGTTGTGAAGGTTGGACGCCGCCGCCGCATCCGCCGTGGGTGGTGTGTTTGGGTGGCGGCCATGCCCGGTCCAGAAAAAGTTGATGACACTTCCTTTATAAAATGTCATCAACATGGCTCCCACCACCGTCACTATTGTTCCTAACACCTTGGCTTGGCATCTCACGTTCTTCAAATCCAACTTTTCCATTCTGATGGGTTGACCGAATTAGTTGAAAAAGAAATGAAATTTCGAATATAATACTTTCATTTATTCATATTCTTCCTCCTTTTGATTATTTATTCGATCAGAGAACACGTTAATCAAAACTTAATTTACTTGTAAAGAACTGCCATGATGAACGTCATTGAAGGAAGCATGTTGCCTATGGCACACGAGAAAGTTGGAGATGTAATTTTCAACCCTAAATAGTAGAAGTTCTGATCGAAAGAAAATTTTTAGCTACTTAAAAGGAGTTAATTAGGGTTTCTAGCAAGTTTGATACTAACTCGAGAAGAGCTAAAACGAATAAATGAACAAAAATCTTAAATGTAATCTTAGGTCTTACTTCCCTGAAAATGAAATTAGTAACGAGATATCAAGAAAACTCAACGAAATGTGAAATGGGTTAATGTTGAAAATAAAAATAATCGTATGATTATAGAAATATGAAGGGATTTGTTTATCGTAAAACACGATAACTGAAGAGTATATGAAAGCTACAAACTTTCCTCTCTTTTCTAAGGTAGTGACTCTTCTACGTACCTCTCGAAGAAAAGAGTAAAGGGTGCCATGACAGCGGTGGCAAAGGCGTGGCGGTAGACGACGAGGACGTAGTGGCTCATACGGCGGGGGAGGGAGATGGTGGAGATGATATTCATTCCGGCGTAGCCAAATGTGAGGGAGATGACAACGATGTAAGGCATTGCATTTTGAAAGAAGCAGCCAAGGGATTGTGAGTATCCCATGCTTATTATGGTTAAAGGGAAGAGAGGAATCAACAGCTTAGAAAAGCTGAACAGCTTATGACTGTGTTTATAAGTTATTATGAATTGGGCTTCAACCCTGCTTACACCCCACAGCACTTCATAATCAGATAGTCCATTGATACATCCTATGATACGGGCCATACGCATAGGTATCCATCGTTTACCGTTAGGACTACTGGAGTATCTAATTCCATTCGCTCCGTCCCAACCCAACAAAGTGCTTGAATAATGCTTGTATCCTCTATATAACCATAATTGCTAACACAGAGTTAGCCGATCCCTATTCTTCAAATATCATCATTACTTCATTTATGAGAAAAGAAGTTCACGACCCATAGGTCTTCTACTTCTAAGTAGCTTTCGTCCATTACGAAAAATTCTATCGCTGCTGCCTTCCGTAAAAGTTTGAGATTAAAACATAGCCGAGAAAAAAATAATAATAAAAAAGGAGTTTTAAATTTGAAGATTTTAAATTTAAAGCTAGAAGGTATGGTAAATTTATTTTTTTCCAATAATTTAATTGTTCCTAATTTTAATTAATGATACTTTATGCATATTTATTGAAGATAACCAGTACATTAATTTTCATTAATAAACCTAACTATAATTTATTTTTATATAAATCAATTCAAGCATAATTAACCTTCTTAGAAATTACTATTAGAACTAAAAAGCTTTGTTTTTTTTTTTTTTTCACGAATGGATATCTCTACTGGGACGATTTTGTTCTTCACTTTTTTTTCTCTTTTCTTTTACCTTCGAAAATCACGAAGCCATGAAGGTTTTAGACTCTACCCTGTTGTCGGAGTCCTGCCGCTGTTCTTATTGAACCGGCACCGTTTTCTGGACTGGACGACGGAGGTCCTCCGCAACAGTCGGAACAACACGGCGGTATTCCGGCGGCCAGGGGGTATCTCCGGCGTCATGACGGCAAACCCAGATGTGGTGGAGCATATACTGAAGACCCAGTTTGAGAACTACTCGAAAGGGGAACGCTTGGTTTCGCTTTTGGAGGATTTTTTGGGGTCTGGAATTTTCAACTCCGACGGCGAAATTTGGAGGATTCAACGGAAAATGGCGAGTTATGAATTCAGCACCAAATCGCTGAGAAAGTTCGTTACGGAAAATGTTGTAATTGAGATTCAAACGAAGCTGATTCCTCTGTTGGAAAAGGCTTCTGAAACAGAGCAGATTTTGGATTTTCAAGATGTTTTTGAACGATTTGCGTTTGATAATGTCTGCAAATTATCGTTCAGTTTCGACCCTAGTTGTCTCGGCGGCGATGGAACTTCCGGCACCGAGTTCATGCTCGCTTTTGAGACCGCCGCCACTCTAATTTCCGGCAGGTTCTGTTTTTTTTTTTTATTTTTCCTTCTTTCTCTCCGATCTGCATTTTTAATCAAAAACCCATTACCCATTTCGTGCTACTAAACACGAAGATATAATTCACTTTGAGTATAAGCTCTCGGAATTTGTTTTGGCTTCCGTACAATACCTTATACCAATGGATATGTATTCCTTGTTTATAAACTTATGATCATTCACTAGAGCAACGAATGTGAGACTCTCTTCCAACAATCCTCCCCATGCTCTAATACCAAAATGATTCAAATGTCTAACAAACAGTGTACTTTGTTCGAGGGCTCTAACGAAGGAGTCGAGCCTCGATTAAGGAGAGGATGTTTGAGGGCTTCATAGGCAGTAGGGGAGGCTCTATAGTGTAGGAAGATTGTTGGGAGGGAGTCCCAAATTAGCTAATTTAAGAATGATGAGTTTATAAGTAATAAATATATGTACGTTGTTACAAGGTTTTTTGAGGAAACCTAAAACAAAGTCATCAAAGCTTTATACTCAAAGTGGACAATATCATATCATTGTGAAGAGTCGTTATTCATAGCATTTTGTTCTTAATTTGAACAGATTTAGGTATGCAATTCCTAAATGGTACAAGATCAAGAGATTTTTCAACTTGGGATCAGAGAGAACCCTGAAGAAATCTATATCAACCGTTCATAATTTTGTAGACAATATCATACGCTCAAGAATGGAAGAGAAAACGACCGAAAACAAGGACAAAGATTTATTGTCACGGTTCATGGCCGACAAAGAAAATTCCCCAAAATTCCTCCGAGACATAGTCATAAGCTTCATCCTCGCTGGTCGAGACACCACTTCTTCAGCTCTAACATGGTTCTTTTGGATCATATCCACCCGACCCGACATCAAACAAAAGATCCTCAAAGAACTCAAAACCATCAGGTCTAAAACCGGTAACCAAATCGGAGAAACCTTCCACATCAACGAACTCCGGGACATGCATTATCTTCAAGCAACATTGTCAGAGACACTCCGGTTATACCCACCGGTGCCGGTGGACTCAAAAGCTTGTCGACGCGACGATGTCCTACCGGACGGGACGGTTGTCGGGAAGAATTGGTTTGTGATGTACCATGCATATGCAATGGGGAAAATGGAGAGCATTTGGGGGAAGAATTGTGAGGAGTTTAGGCCGGAAAGGTGGCTGGAAAATGGGGTTTGTAGGGGTGAGAGCCCATTTAGGTTCCCTATATTCCATGCAGGGCCGAGGACGTGCGTGGGGAAAGACATGGCTTATATTCAGATGAAGGCCATAGCTGCAGCTGTGATAGAGAGGTTTGAGGTCATAATCATGAAGAACAAGACTCCAAACCATTTGCAGTCATTGACTTTGAGGATGGAGAATGGGTTGCAAGTTATGGTCAAAAAGAGGTCGATGCCAAGACATTCGGTCTAAAACCTTTTTAAAATTTCGTTTTCTATGTTCAATAACGTGAAACTGTTGACTCGAGCCAATAATAATGCTCCAATCGTACCTCTGTTTAGAATTGTATGTTCAAACTCTTTCTGAAATTTCGACTTTTAGAGTTGAGGTTCAAGGTCTTGCTCGACTTTTTATCAATCCTATTTTTGTCTCTCATGTTGACATTATTGCCTCTGTCCTACTTATGGCCCAGATTGGGTTCAATATACATCTTTACGGTTATTAGATGATGCACTGTCCTTTTTGGACACATTATGACATTTGTCTGTCTTAACTCTAATGTGGACGGATGGGTGCCACTTGTGGGGCCAGAGTTTGAAGCTTCTCTCTTCATAGTATGGTTGTGACACTCTACAAGCTCTCTAGAGACTGATTGTAGATAAATTCTAAATGCCCCACTGATACGAAAATCTCCACGATCCCGTCAAGCCAAAATTGTGGCACCAACATAAACACGCTGAATGAAGTCGTAGTTGTTGGATTGTCAAGCAAGCGACATTTTTTCGTTTGATTTCGACAACAGAGGAGATGAGGATGTTGATGGCGAATTTGACATGAAAAATTTATGGTTGGATCGATTCGGTTGAATGTAAAGTCTAACCTGATTCAATCGAACCCACGAACACCCACCCGAATAAGCTTTAAAGCCTCTTTGTCTTGTTGCTCTTCAGATATCCAAATGATATTTTGTTCGATCAACCCTTATCTTCAAATGAGTGCTCTCCTAATTGATTTAAATAAAGTGTTAAATAATAAAATACTTTGTCAATTGAGTTTCTTTTTAAAAGAATTATTTATTTATTTATTTATTACTAACTTTTTAGGAGAAAGTGGGAGGAGGAGATATTTATGTGAATTATTTATTTAATAAAATAATAAATTTATTTATTAAATAATTTTTAATAATTTAACTTCATAAAAATAAAATAACTAACCAAAATTAATTAAAATTGTTAGAAATACTATTTATTTATATAAAATTTTGACTAACATTTTTATGTAATAATATAGTCATCCAATTTCTAGACATTGATATAGCATTTATATGATATGTCGTGAACTAGCTTCAGTGTAATATTCACGATCTTGAGCCCGAAATCCCTTTTATAGCTTCTAAAATAATCTTCCAAATCTTTCAAATCGTATTTTGGTGTATTTTACGTGAATCTCAAGAAGTTCTCCGAAACAGAGTAAAATAAATGAATATATATAAGAATTGTTGATAACATCGAGATGCTATATAAAGAACAATATTTCGAAGTTGAATTGAAGAAAAAACCCTAAACACGTGAGGAAAAGGGTGAGAAAGGGAGATTGTATGCGTAGAACCAACAACAAACAACCGGAGATACTCGTACATTTTGAACTTATACCATTCGGATTCGATTTGGTATTAGCCAGAGCGTTGTTGTGGGTAGCAAATTCAACCAACTCAAAGCCAAAACATTCCCACCCACCACCATGCTTTCTTTCTTCTTTCCTTCACCTTTTAGCGAGATAATGATCTCACTAAGCACTCCATAACTCACTTTGCTCGTCTCTATCTTCTTTTTTTTTCACCAATCAATATCTTTAGCATTTCTCTAAAGTTTTTCATGCAAAATTAATATGATTGTCAATCTACAAGTATGGTCACAAAAAGATGCGATGAGACAGACAGGCCACAACAGGATTACTACAGGAAAGCCTGTCCCCTACCGCTAACATAGAAAGAGATTCCCATAACGACAAATTCTCTATATGAATCTCTTCCCTACTCGGCCGAATTGAGTTGCTGTTTGAGGTAGGAATGACTTAACCCATACGCATTATTGATGAAAGCATTCTAGACTGGTCACTTCATAAAATTGACTTGTCAACCACGCTTTATACATTATATGCACCCAATCAACATTCATAACTCATTCTTACTTGTAAATTAGAATGGGTTTGATTCGGTTAAAGAACTTTGTAGATTCAAAAATATGTTTGATTATAAATTAGGGTTTGAGGTCAGGTTTTAATCGGTTGAGTAATGTCTACGATATAGGTTGTTCCAACGACGAACCTTCCAACTCAGATTCAACTCCGATTCAAACAACAAAAGAAAACAAAACCCATGAAGTAGGTTATAAATATTTGGTGTAGGTAGCAATTTTGTTTTGGGGAACACACTCATATGTTCTTCTAAGCTGTTGATTCCTGTCTTCATTGGTCCTCCCTTTCCTTTTCTTCTTCTCCATACCACTCTTTCCCTTTTATACATAACAAAACAAGCATGGGATACTTACAATCCCTTGGCTGTCTCCTTCAAAGTGCAAAGCCTTACATCGTTGTCATCTCCCTCCAATTTGGCTATGCCGGAATGAATATTATCTCTGCCATCTCCCTCGACCGCGGTATGAGCCACTACGTTCTCGTCGTCTACCGCCACGCCTTTGCCACTGTCATCATGGCACCTTTTGCTCTTGTTTTTGAGAGGTACATATCTTTGATTTCGTAGTTATCATATCTTAAGATAAACAATTGTTTGATTGTTTTTATTTTCAACGAGTAACTCATTTCTAGTTTCATATGTTCAAACAAATGATACCCGAGATTACATTTAAGATTTTAACTCATTTCTAGTTTCATATTTACAGAAAAATGGGTATAACTCATTTCTAGTTTCATATTTACAGAAAAATGATACCCAAGATTACACTTAAGATTTTCGCTCAGCTGTTTGTTCTAGCTCTTCTTGGGTTAGTATCAGGTTAGATTTTTTTTTCCAAACAAATTAACTCGTTCCTTTAAATATCTAAAAACCTTTTCTTTCTGTGTCCTTTTTTGTATCTTCCATGGAATCGATCTCAACAGGCCACTAATTGATCAGAACTTCTACTACTTGGGGATAAAAATGACATCCCCAACTTTTGCATGTGCCATAAGCAACACGCTTCCTTCAATGACATTCATCATGGCGCTTCTTTGTAGGTATGTTAAGCTTTGGTTAACATAATTTCAAATCGAATGAACAGAAACTACGAAAAATATGAACAAAATGAATAAATATACAATAATAACATATTAACTTTATCTTTATAGGATTAAGTTTACTTTAATGAATTATTGTATTCAAAGTTAAGTTCTTTTTTTAACTAAAACGGTCATTATCAGAATGGAGAAGTTGGAGTTGAAGAGCGTGAGATGCCAAGCCAAGGTGTTTGGAACAATAGTGACGATGGTGGGAGCCATGTTGATGACATTTTATAAAGGAAGTGTCATCAACTTCTTCTGGACTGGGCATGGCCGCCACCCAAACACACCACTCACGGCGGATGCGGCCGCGGCGTCCAACCTTCACAACGACGGAAAGGTCATCAAAGGCTCCATCTTCCTCATCATCGCCACTCTGGCTTGGGCGGCCTTCTTCATTCTGCAAGTCATAACCATGAGAAAATACACAGCCCATCTTTCTCTCACCACCATGGTTTGCTTTTTAGGAACCCTTCAAGCCATTATTGTCACCCTCGCCATGGAGCACCGCCCTCACGCCTGGGCCATTGGCTGGGACATGAACCTTCTGGCCGCCGCTTATGCGGTAAGAAAGACAATAATTGTAATAGTCCAAGCCGCTTATCCTCTTTGTGCTTTTCCTTTCGAACTTCCTTTCAAAGTTTTTAAAATGAACTTCCCCTCAAAGTTTTTAAAACGCATATGCTTATCCTCTTTGTGCTTTTCCTTTCGAACTTCCTTTCAAAGTTTTTAAAATGAACTTCCCCTCAAAGTTTTTAAAACGCATATGTTAGAGAGAGGTTTCAAAACCGTTATAAACAATGCTTCCAATCCCCTTTCCAACCGACATGGGATCTCACAATCTACCCCCTTTGAGACTAGAGTCCTCGTTGGCACTCGCTCCTCTCTCCAATCAATGTGGGATCTCACAAATCCACCCACCTTCGGGGCCTAGCATCCTCATTGGCACACCACCCAGTGTCCACCCCCCTTCGAGGCTCAGCGTTCTTGGTGGCACACCGCCCAATATCTGGCTCTGATACCAACTGTAACAAACCTAGATTTCTATAAACTTAAAATCATCATAATAGTCCAAGCTCACCGCCGGCAGATATTGTCCTATTTAAGCTTTTCCTCAAAGTTTTTAGAAAGTGTTTGGGAAAAGGTTTTCATACCCATATAAACAATGTTTTGCTCTCCTTTTCAACCGACATGGGATCTCGCAATGATTGTCCCAGATATTTCAGTCTTTGAATTCTATAAAACATACCTCTAATTCTAATTCATAATATTGAATGTCTATGCAGGGGATTGTGACCTCAGGGTTGGCATATTATCTTCAAGGTTTGGTTATGAAAACAAAAGGGCCAGTTTTTGTTACAGCTTTTTGCCCTCTGGGGACAGCGATTGTTGCCTTCATGGGCTCTCTCATCTTGGCTGAAAAGATTTATGTTGGAGGGTAACTACTCATCAATTCTCTTTTGGAGGGTAACCAAATCTAGCAGAGTCCTTTAGAACACAACACTCTTATTTTTGTACTGATTTTTCAGGATAATTGGAGCAGTGCTGATTGCGACAGGGCTGTACTGTGTCTTGTGGGGTAAATGTAAGGATGTTGAAGACAGTGCTGAAGCAGTGAAAGGTGAAGAATTGCCTGTCAAAAACGAAGCCATTGAAGCAACTCAAAAGAAAGAAGCTTTGGTTCTTAGTATTCGACCCAACATGGAGAAGAAGCTTCAGCAAACTAATCACCCAAATTAAGAATAAAAAAGAGAGAATCCTGAAGAACAATAACAGAGAAATGGCCAAGAAAAAGGGAGGGGAGGAAGGTTAATACAATTATAATAACCTTATAATTTACAAATCAATTTGATTATAGCTCGATAATTAAAAATAGCAATTACTATTTCAAAAGTCGACGGTTCTACCCGACGTTAATTGAGCTAGACATTCTATTGGACGAAAAGGTGGAGGATTCCACTAAGGTTGTCTTTTGAGTGGCAGATTCCTAATTGTCACTAAACAGCATAATAATCTCTTTTGTTCTTTAATGTTAATAATATAACCAACTCCAACTCAGTGTTTTCTAGGACTAAGATCATTTGTTCTTTAATGTTAATAATATAACCAACTCCAACTCTGTGTGTTTTAGGATTAAGATCACTTAGGTCACCACCACCTCCCATCATTCTTCCTGTGGCCTGTTTTTCGTATCAATAATTTGAGACTTGTTTTATTTTAATTATTGTATTTTTAAGTGTTAAATTTTAATCCATACTCACAGTAAAATTTTAAATTTTTGCCCTTCTGCCCTGAAGTTAAATTGTGTCATTTATCAAAGCTATGGTAAAGAACCTATGGTTGTGATAGCTTTAATTGTAAATAAGGGTAAAGATCAAGTCAATTAGAAAGAGAGTGAATCGATTAGCAGTACGAATGAAAGGGCTAAGTTAGTATGGTGATATTATTGTTTGGGTCGGATAGAGTCTACCTGCCAACTGACCCAACTCGAACCAATTTGGTTTTGCAAATAATAAATATGAGTAAATATAATTTCTCGTGTTGTGCGGATAGAAAATATGTTGTTTTCATTGTTGGAAGTAAATATGGTTGTGTGAGACTTGGAAGAGAAAGTTAAACCCTATAAATAGTCTATAGATTGTAATCAAGGATACCTATCATATCATTCTCATAAGTAGGTGGTGTGGCTAAGTTGCACAAGGACTATTGTCTCAAATTTATATTTTGAATCTTAATGTGAGTCTTGGGCTTGAGGTGTCACTGATACCAAACCTCACTAGATACTACGTGATTCAGAACCGAACCACAACAAAAGTTGGTACAAATGTAACGTCTAAATATATAAGAAATACATAAATGAACAGACATCACAACCATATAAGAGTGGATCATTAGGCTACACAAACATGGCAAAGATAAGATAAAAAATAATAGATTGCCACTAGCAAAATGCAATTTTCTTTTTGGTGGTCCAACTTAAAGAACTCTAAAACCAAAAACTAAACAGGGTGGGCTTGAAGCAAGAGCATGTGAGTAAAGAAAAAGCAGGTTGAAAGAAGTTTATTGGTTTGTAGGATAGTCCGAGTTAAGGCTGAGTTACAGCCATGCAGCCCTCATTCTAACTGTGCTCTCAGAATAACATAAAAATGCAAGGAAAGCACGAGAACAAAACCAGAAGGTTTGATAACTGAACATACCTTTGCATTCATACTTCACAGCTCCTTCTTTGCCAAACTGAGGAATAAGAACGAAACAAGTAATATCATTATAGCCACAAACTACAGATTGGGGGCATCTAACTCATTAAAAATGACATCTATATCCAAAAAAAGTTATCAGAAACGGAGCAAGTGAAATAAAGAATGTACAAAGGCCTGTAAAAGGAAACAAAAAATCTGCAAAAAGAGTCATGACTTACATGAACGAACTAAAAATTCAACTGATAATTACAAAAAGTCCAATTCATGGACACCCATAAAGAGACATCAAACAGCAATACCTCCCACACCTCCTCCAAAAAAAAAATTCAAACCCCTCTAGAGAATTAATGCTTACAAGATAATAATGATAAGGAAAAAGTCTATGCTAAACAAAAGCAACCTGATAAGCATCCTTTGAGAGAATTAATTGGCCTCAATAATGAAAGGAGGCAGTAAGAAATAACGACAACAAAGCACACATCTATGCATCAAAGTTTGAATCAGCTCAAACCATTTTGAGCTGCTAAAGGTTTGAAATGCAGAGGCACAATTACTCTATGTCGAGTATTCAAATCCGTAGTAAATGTTGCAAACATCATGGTAAAGATAACATTAGGGAAAATTATAAATGATAGAGATTTGCAAAGGAAATGAGACCATGAAAGGAAGATCAGCGAAGCAGATGACTCATTGTAATAATATAATAACTGTACCATCACTAGCTTGCAAAGATGAACCACCAAACTCATTTATAAATACAACCTTTTAAGATGGAGAAAGATAATACGATAAGAGGATTTCAGCAACACATGTCAAAGCCAAAACATATTTGCTTAAAGCTTGTTTGATAGGCAAACTAAAAGGGATAACCAATACTTAGCAGTGATTCACATATCCTTGCATGACACATTTTCTTCCTGCCTAAAGAATTGAGTACATCAACATCTAAGTACGGTACCAGATGAGTTTATGCAGCAAAAGGATCATGTGAAGGGCCAACATCATGACCTATATGGCGCTGAACAAGCCGCTGAAGATCATCCATCACCTTCCGCTCGCGTTTTGCTTTTTCTTCGTAGTTATACATTGCAAGGGCTCTTTTATCTTCAGCACTGTAAACTTGGTTTTCTTTTCTAATACGGATTGCATTCATTCTCTGATGCCTGCTACCGCTCATCACATAGCCAAGAGTCTCGAAGTTCTGGATTTCCTCAGCTGAAAGACCCACTTCACCACGCCGGGGAATACGCTTCCCTTGTTGAACATACTGTGCAATGGCGTCACCTTCTCCGGGCCTAAGAGCACCACCATAGCTAATATGTCCCTCAGCTCTAGGCAGTGGCATTGGTCCAACTGGCATCTCATTATCAAATGCAGGTTTCTTTTGTGCCTCCAAAATTTCCTTAATCTTCAAAGCTTCAGCGTTAATCTCAGCCATTTTATCTCCGTCGATCTTTAATTTACTCTTAGCATCAACGTCTTCAGAATCAGAATTCTCCTCGGAAGAGGAACCCTTGCTCTCCGTTTCTGACTGTCTGTTTTTCTTGCTCCTGGATTTTGTCGAAGTCAATGAGCTCTTTCGCTTCCTCAATTTTTCAGCTTCACTGTTCTCACTCTCATCTGAATCACTGTACCTCCTCTTCCTACCATTCTTGGACCTCTTTCTATGACTCCTTTTTCTTGACTTAACATGGCCACTGGCATCAGAATCATCTGTCTCGCTTTCTTCGCTGTCCTCCATATCACTGTACCTACTCTTCTTCTTCTTACTGCTCCTGATACTCTTATGTTTTCTATTCCTCCTATTCATCGATTTCTTTCTTCTCTTCCGACTTTCTTCCTCTGATTCACTTTCACTCTCACTCTCGGTATCACTGCCCGACTCAGAGTCGCTAAGAGACAATTTTCTACTTCTACGCCTGGAACCAGAACTCTTCAATTTCCTCCCTTTCAATTTTGTATCAGATAATTCAGAATCAGAGTCAGAGTCAGAATTCTTAGTTTTATCAGATGCATATTTTTTTTCATGTTGCTTTTTCTCACTCAAGCCACTTATATCTCCACCGTCATCGTTGCCATATTTCTCCAAAATCTCGTCATCTTTATCCTCATAATCTTCGTTCCCATTCCTCGGTGGGCTAGGGGTCACTCTCCAAATACAATGCTTCAATGTCTTCCGGAGCTTCTGCCTCTTCATCCTCCGATAGTCTTCATAGTTCAACCCTTTCAGCTCCTCATCCGAATCGGACTCTTCAGACGCCCTCCCGTTTCTATCCAGATACGCCCGGCCTCCTGCGCGCCCAAATCTCTTGGGCAGACCGTTTTGGTCTCCATCAGCCCTAGGGCTCCGCCTAATGTCCTGGTAGCCAGGCGATACAGATCGACGACGATGGCTGTAGCGATCATAACTTTCATAGCTAGGGCTACGACGTCGTCGGTAATCCCCACCGGAAGCATCGGAGTCCGGCGAGTAACGATGGCTGCCGTTTTCTCGATCGGATCGATGTCTTCTTTCAGGAATTTCCACAGTAGACCCTAGCCTACCCATTTGATAATATTCAGTATCGCAAACAAGACGTATGTTGAATTCGTCTCTCAGCCGCCAGTTATAGCACAATTGGAATCCAGAATTTACCTCATCTTCCTAACTACTAGCACTACGGTTATTGAAAGGTTTCCAGATTGTTAATTACAGACAAGAATACGATCAGAGGGTTGCAATCAGAAAACCCAAAAAAACAAATGGGAGTTAAGCTCGTACCTGGCAGAGAGAGAGAGCACCGAGAGAGAACGTGAACGTCGGGGAGGGGAAGAATGAGCGGCGCGCGAGGGGGCTGGGATAGATTTGGAATGAGTAATGGGGAGGGGTGGGTGGGGATTACCGACTATTGAGGTTGGGCTCGACTGGGCTGAGCTGCGCTGTAAACGAATTTATATATTTTAATGAAAAACAAACTTATAAAATCAATTTGGTTTAAATTGTGGAACTACGACACCCACTGATATGGTTCGATTCGTCTCGGTCTGGTTGACTTCACACGACAAATCGTCAACGCAATTAGGTGAGGCATGTCATGAAAATACACTTTGAACTAAAACGTTATCGATCGACTAAATCTAAATTTATTTTCCTAGCTTATATATTCGTAAGTATCAGTCTCGATATATTCGTAAGTATCACTCTCAAGTTATGTCAAATTATCACTTGTTAGTTCAATTAATGTTTTATCGAGATTAATTCAATATTTAATTTTTTTTTAAATCATAGATTAAAACTTCTCATAATATTCCTACGTTATTTGTTCATAAAAATTTATTATGAGACGAAAGTATAAAATTATATAAGTTTAGGTCAAAAGTTTATTATATTCTCATATATAATTCTCATTTGAATGGTTACTTAAATTAATTTCAAAATGATTAATTAATCCTAATTATTGGAAGATTATATAAGTTTAGGTCAAAAGTTTATTATATTCTCATATATAATTCTCATTTGAATGGTTACTTAAATTAATTTGAAAATGATTAATTAATCCTAATTATTGGAAGAAAATTCTCATATATAATTGTCGATTACTTGAATTAATTTCAATATAATTAAATGATTATTTGAATTAATTTGAATTAATCCCCTAATTATTGAAGGAAAATTCTCGTATAATTGTCAGATTACTTAAATTAATTTCAATATAATTAAATGATTATTTGAATTAATCCTAATTATTGAAAGAAAATTCTCATATGATTGTCCCCTTACTTAAATTAATTTCAATATAACTTAAATTAATTTTAATATAATTAAATGATTACTTTGAATTAATCCTAATTATGGGAGGAAACAATCTTGTTTGATCTCTTATTCAACTAAGTTAAAAAACAATACCACGTTAGGAAGATGTCTATTGTGCCCATGCCACAAATTCTACAAATTCTCCCTGGATGATAAAAGTCATAGATCGGCTAATTTAGAGAATGATAATGGGTTTATAATCAAAGAATACTCTTCTGTGAGGCCTTTTGGAGAAACCCAAAGCAAAGCCACGAGAATTTATGGTGAACAATATCATACTATTGTGGAGAGTCGTGTTCATCTAACTCTCTGCATATACATATATAATAAACCCTAAATTTAAACTTTTATGATTATGATTTTATTTTTATTAGTAAATTTGAGAATTTTTTTTCTTTGTGAATGAGAAATTTTTTCATTGGGATTTTTACCATTTAAATAGAAATGTTTCAAATATATATATATATATATAATTAATCAATATTGAGATAATAATAATTATAACCGAGAATAATTTCTTATGGAATCTTCACCTAGATCCCTATAAAATCAAACAAGGAGTTGTGCTGTACATATAAATAAAAGTTGAGGAACAAATAGACACCAAAGTTTATGAACTAAACTTGTTGGATTTTTCAAAGATCTCCAAATCCCAACTCAAATTCTCGAAACCGAGAAATGACATCGAATCAACCTAATTTATTCTTAAAAATAGTTTAAGTCAAGCTTATTTTTATGTCCAAGACTTCTGTTTCATACAATGGACTCAAGAACATGTTTCTAATGAACATAAACAATGAACAATGAACAATGAAGCAAAGAAGAGTGAGTACTACTGACCAAAAATCTCTTCCCTTTGAGTCACAATGGCAGAGGAGCTTTAAGCACGAAGAAGCCGAAGAGAAGCAAGCATGTGGGGGGCTTTATTATACCTAAAATTAAGGCACCAAATCAAATAATAATACACAACAGATGATCCAAATAAATAAGCTAGGAGGAGCCAAAACACCTGTACTGTACAGGCATATATATTATTCAACAAGAAATGTTGAAAAGGGTCAGTTAAAATCTTTCAGTCTTTTCTTCAACACGTCCATTGATTTCTTGCGAGTGTTTTGCTTGGTGTTTCTGCTAGAAAGGCTACCAAAGATGCCATCAGCGGAGTCCTTGAACTTCTCACAAATACTAGCCACTTTCTTATAATCCAACATGTTGTAATTCCTCTCTCTTATCACCGGATTCATGAAGTTCTCCGGCTGACTGCTCTGCAAAAGGTTGATTAATTGGCGAGCTTCCATTAAACAGTTTCGGAAACTTCCTCCTCCTCCTCCGTAGATTTCGCTCAGTCCCGTGCTGTGGAATCTCTCGTCTGCAAAAGCTTCCAGCATTTTCAGATCACTGTTGATGCTCATCACTGCATTCACGTTAAACCTTTTCACACTATCGCTAAGAAAAGCTGAAACTATAGAGTACGAGATATGATCGAGAGCGCCACTCCCGACCTTGTACAAAGCTTCCATCGGTAAAATCTGTTGTGCAGTCGACATTATCGTGTCGAGATAAATAAGCACTTCATTTATATAGTCATTTGCATTTGCAGTAACCTCCTCAGAAGTCCAACCAATATTCTCTGTAAGAGCCATGAACTCATCTAGCTTCGTGTTCACCAAAGTCAACAATGCAATATAAGCCGCATCCCTTGAAGTTTTAAGAACAACTTTTGCAGCGAAACCGCTTTGTGGCCTCTCGACTGATCGAATTGGCATTCCACATAACAGACCTGCATGCCTGATGAAATAGTCACAGGCTCTTTCCAAAACTGTTATATTCGCAGCAATTTGCATCGCTTGAGAAACACCAATGGATGCACCGTGGATAATATTGAGTATTGCTTCATTTAAAACATCAATTAGGATCCTATCCAAATATTTCTTCACAACCTCAAAAAGATTAGAATGTGCACTGTAGGACAAGTAATCAACACACCCTTTAATGAAGGACCTCACGATGCGGCATACATCAGGAACGGTGGAAGAAAATGGCGCTATGAACGGAAATGTAGGCATTATATCAGATGTCTGCAGATTAAAGGCAAGCACGTTGTTGTCGTAATCGCTATCTTTTTTCAGAACCATCTGCTCGTAGGTGTCATTAGCTAGAACATCCACTATTTGTTGCTGGCACTCCTCCAAAAGAAGCTCGTGGTATTTGTCCCGGCTTTTGTTCAACGTCTCGAGAACCGGCCCGACTTCATATCCATATTGTCTAAGGGTAGATGCCAGAAGAGTAACGTAATCCTTCACCAGGAGAAGGTGAGTTGCAGAATCCATGAGGGAAAATTGTATCTCCAGCACTGATGTCACCTTGACAACAGCAGTTTCCAGCATAGCTTCAACCTGTTCAGCTGATAGTAGCCCTTCAGCAGTCCTCATCACACGATCCTCCACTATAAAATATCCTGCAATTTGAGCTAAATAGGTCTGATAGGACTCGATAAACGGCTGAGACGAAGAAATCTGCAAGTCGGAATTAAGCTGCAACATTCGGTTCCTGTAGTAATATTCACGAAATTGCTCTTTGATCCCAAGACATGTATGAATGTGATACGCTCGATAAAGAGGTATAAGGTCAAACTTTAGAATGGAGTCCTCATCGAAATCTCCGACATCCAAAGTATATGAAAAATCTCCTATCCCTGAAATGTTCTGTTCCTCAGCCTTCCTCTGACGGTCTAACATTTCCTCATCTCTTTGTCGAACAGTTGCAGCATGGCCGATAGCCGTTTGCCCGATAACCTTAGCAGAACTCCTTACATGTACGAGCCATTCATTGAATTGAGTGGACACTTTCTTTTCAATATGAGATTTGATCACAGGAATTCTTGTCTCAATGACCATTCTTAGTGTCTTGACAGAAATGTTCTTCAAATAATTCTTTTCAATCAGATCGACATTTTTCAATGCAGGGTAGAATTGGCCTTTAGAAATATGATCATTGCACTTGACACAAAGATCAAGCACCTGAACACAATTCTGGGACATTTTGATGGCTTCAGTCACATTCTTTTTTATTGAATAACATTCCAAAAGCTCTTCGAGTCGAATCAAAAGCACACTCCCAACCTCTTGCAATTTAAAATTATCGGTCGATAATTCGGCCTTCAGCTCTTCAGCATCGACCAAAACCCCACGAAGTTCATCAACTGCACGGATAAATTCCTCGTAGTGAGTCTTGCACAACTCCTCGATTTCAACTTCTTTCTTTTTTACAACATTCTTCAACTGATGAAGAAGAGTTTCTGGTCGGCCCATTTCAAATGCATGTCGAACAATTGGACCGAGATCCTCGCCATTGCCAATTAACGTGGCAAGTACTAGGTCTTCGGCCGTTTCCCCATTCTCTGCAGCAGCTCTCCTCTTTGGTTTTCCCTCCATTATTAAGATCAAACTCTACAAAAATGTAAAATGCATATTAATACAACATCTTACATAGTATATAATATCAAGATTGACATATGCTACTAAAAAAAAATCTACAAATGGTGCAGCTTTCATGTTCGATCAGTATTGAATTACGAAATCAACACCATCATAGTTGGCATCTAGCTATTCCAATTCAATTCACAACAAAATATGTAGAGAATACGTTCATACAAAGTATCCACACATATTTTTCCTATGACACCTTGTCCACAGTGACATAATAGAAACCTTGGGGCAATTCTTTTTTTCTTTTTTTTTTGGTGGGTGTGGGGAGATCCCACGTTTATAACAGGAACACATACAAAACCATCTATGTAACGCCCCCAAATTTCGAAGTGAACAAAATGAAACATTACGAACTTCATCACTCACACATCATTCTCAGTCTAACACAAAACCCAAACTTGTTGTAAAAGGGTATCTTTACCAACTTTACCACATGAACCCATTCTACGCTAAAACAAGGTAAGATAAACTCAAAAGAAAATATCATAGCTTGTGACGTAGTGAGTCTTGGTCATTTACTCTAGACCTCGCTTGTAACAGCCCAAGCCTACTGCTAGCAAATATTGTCCTCTTTAGGCTTTTCCTTTCGAGTTTTCCCTCGAGGTTTTTAAAATGCGTCTGTTAGGGAGAAAGCTTCCACCGCCTTATGAAGAATGTTTCGTTTTCCTCCCCAACCGATATGGGATCTCACATCGCTGATACTCTCTATAATCTATTGGGTAGTTCAACCCCTCAAGTCATGAAACGACCCATGGCGACCACCATTTATACTCAAGGCTCTGATACAACACTTTTCATTCCATTGGCCCTTGACCATTTACACTCAACACCTGGTGCACATCATCTTTACATTAGCGTATCAGACATCAACCATTTATACTTAGAGGTTCCAAGACCACAAGTGACATATCAGCCTTTGATCATACTAACTGTTTTGTTTTTTCCAAAATATTCTGATTTTTTCCAATTTTTAAACACCATTTAATCTCCTAAAAACTTGGGCAGGATAAAAAGGGGAGAAAATTGATTTTACAACTTGAAGCAAAATTTAATTGAAGAACTTAAAACTCAAGAATGTAACAAACCAAACCCACCACTAACAAATATCGTCTTTTTTAGGCTTTCCCTTTCGAGCTTCCCCTTAAGGTTTTTAAAAGGCGTCTCTTAGGGAGAAGTTTTCACACCCTTATAAAGAATGTTTCATTCTCACCTCCAACCGATGTGGGATCTCACAATTCACCCTCCGTCGGGTCCCAGCATCTTCGCTGACACTCGTTCCCTTCTCCCATCAATGTGGGACCCCCCAATCCACTCCCTTCGAGGCCCAGCGTCCTTGTTGGCACATCGCCTTGTGTCTACCTCCCTTCAAGACTCAGCCTCCTGCCAATATGCTCAAAGTTGTGTTGAACTTATAGTTCTCTCCGATTCTAACAATTTTGAAAGAAAATTTCAAGGCGGCAATTAAAGAAATGAGCTAAACTGGAGATGTGGAGCGTTACAGTCCACATTATAATGAAGTAAGTAGATGGAAGAAAACATACTATAGCAAGGAAGGGTTGTAGAACATGATCCCTCAATTATGGAATATGAATTCAGTGCCCCATAACCGACTTTGATGAAAACTGGGAAAATTGAGAAACCAAAAACAATCAGAGGCGTGCACTTGAATTTAGAAATATATTGAACGATGTGTGATTTTCAGGGAAGAGAGAGAATTAAGAAAAGGCTATGGAAACTTGTGGAGAATAAAACGAAGTTAGAAGCCATTATTTTATATAAGCATCTTCACAAAAGTACAAAAAGACTTGGGTGAACATTCTTAGAATATGAGAGCGACTTGAAAAACAGACGATATCATCAATGTAAACCGAAAATCGAACATGAACATACGTTTAATTTTAATAATCTCCTGAAGTTTTACTCTTACAACCTAAAATCATTCGTTGAATTACAGAACAATCGAAATCCATATCGAAAATTGAACAGAATACCTAAATGCGCACATGTCAAAGGAATTATGCATGAAACATGGAAGCATTTACTCTCTCCAGTTCAGGAAACTCATATCGGGAATCGCCAATCGACATACCTTCAGAGGAGGATCTGATCAAACATGGGGAGACAGAGACTGCGAAATGGAGAGATTAGCATCTAATGTGAAGGTTCTCCTCTACGATTGAACGAGACCGTACCGCAATTTCGTTCCATTATTTGTTCTTCAAAATGCGCAATGATCCAAGCGAGAAAATCCCCGGAATTCTCTTCCTCTTCGTCGCTCCGATCGATTGAAGCGGATCGTACCGGACTCCACACCGATGCGTTGCCAGATTTCTTACCGGAGGTCCGAGAGATTAAAGAGAAATTGTTTCAGAATCTGAAATTCGAGTCTAAAGACGCTAGAACAATGGAGAAATAGTTGAAGAGTCATGGAGAATGAAGAGGGCCTGATCTCAGAGATAATAACCAAAAAAAATATTGAAATTTTCGAAAAATCAACTAAATAACAAATAATTCTCATAATTTTGTTGAAGGTTTTCTAAAATTAAGACAAAATTGAAATAAAATTCATCATCTTTTTAAATTAAAAAATAAAAAATAAATTAAATTATTTATTCTTATTTATCACGTGCTATAAAAGTTTAGATTAAAATTTTAATTTATTTTATACTATATATATATATATAATAATATGAATCCTTCCATTTATTTGGTTTATTTATTTATTTTCAAATCTTTAATTAAAATTTATAATTTAATTTCAATATATATATTAAAAAAAAATTGAGAGGGATTGGAAAATGAATAATTATAAAATTTTAGAAAATTATTAATTCAACTTAAATCTCATTAAGTCGATCAAATTCTTTAAAAATGACATACCAATATTAAAATTATTTTTAAAAACGCCATTGGTACGTGTAGTACACGCGCCATAAAAATCCTAGTACTAGGAGCCGTCGTCGTAGCCAGAACAACCCCTGAGAGAAGACCCAAGACATTCAAATGATTGGTTGTCTCAACACATCTCTACCTTCCCCACTCTCACTCCTCTTCTGACAAAATTCGTGTACTCCACGCGCTGCCAATCCATTTTCCTTGAAATCAGATCTTCTGATTTTTTTAAAATTTTCCTTTTTTTCCCAACACCCTCAGATCTCGGAAAATAAAACCCAAAAATATATAAATAAATAAATAAAATCAGATATCCTGAAAAAAAAAAAATAAAGGAGCTTACAAGATCCGCTTCGAACCCCTCTCCCAAATTCCTCGCCTTTCTTCTTCCTCTTCCTCCTGCTCTGTTCTGTTCTGGTTCTGGGTTTGATCCTATTTTTGAAGCTTTTTACTTGTTGATTTGCAGAATTGGAGCTAACCCAGTTGAAATATTGGTGAAAACTGAAGTGGGTTTGCTTTAGATTTCAGAAACAATGAGGGAAGAGGATTCAAATTGGTTCTCAAAATGGGAAGAGGAGCTTCCTTCTCCTGATGAATTGATGCCTCTTTCCCAAACCCTTATCACCCCTGATCTTGCTGTGGCATTTGACATCTCAAGCTCAAATGCTGTCATTGATAATAACAGCCATCCGCCGCCGCCTCCTCCGGTTGTCGCTCAGCCGAGTTCTGCTGATTTTGGGGATTGTGGGGACCTGGGGTCCGGCGAGCCTGCGAGAACCCTGAAGCGGCCGCGCCTGGTCTGGACTCCACAGCTCCATAAGCGATTTGTCGATGCCGTCGCCCATTTGGGGATAAAAAATGCTGTCCCGAAAACCATAATGCAGTTGATGAGCGTCGATGGGTTAACTCGTGAAAACGTAGCTAGCCATTTGCAGAAATACCGTCTCTATTTGAAGCGTATGCAGGGGATTTCCAGCGGCAGCGGTGGCAGTGGCGGTGCTAATGGTGCCGCCACTTCAGATCTCGCTACTGATCATTTGTTCGCCAGTTCCCCTGTTCCGCCTCATTTTCTTCACTCTTCTCGGACTAATTCCGACCATTTCTTGCCGTTTGTACCCGTCGGAGCGCTGCAGCAGCACCACCACATGGCTGCCGCCGCCGCCGCCGCTCAGTACCACCGGCAAGTGGCTCAATTTGGGTCGCCGCCAAATGGGCAATTTGAGCGTCCGTTTTTGGCTCGGCCTATTCACCGGCTTGGGGCTCCGGTGAGTAACCCGGCGACGAATCACATCGAAGATTTGGATTCGGGTAATGCAACAGAAGGGAGGAAGGTTCTTACTCTTTTCCCCACCGGAAACGATTAAAATTTCTTTCAAACAGAAATCCGGCTAGAGACCTCTGTTTCACCGGCGGTAATGGCGTTTTTCCGATCTCCAAATCCCAGTATTCCAAAACAGTTCGCCGCCGGCAGCCGGTTAAAGGTAAAATCAATTCTATTTCCGAACGAGTAAAATTGTACAAGACTCTGAAAACCGCCATTGAAATCCTCAAAACAGAGCTCGAGGATTTTCAGCTCTGTTCATCATCATCTTCATCAAATCCTCTGTTTTTTTCTTAATCGATGCAAAATTAGTGAATCAGATCCAAATAAAGTTCATTTTTTACTCTTTTTATTTGAAGATTTGATCGAGTTCGATCTTTTTTCAAGGCAATAATCTTGAAATCAAAGCACCAGATTCCTTGATTCCTCCTTTCTGATCTACAGTTGTTATACCGACAAGCAAGCTTTAAAACATTGAATCTTCTTAGTCTTTCCGAAAAAGAAAAAGGAAAAAAAAAAAAAACAGAGCATTAAATTACAAATTATCCATAATTATATGTTAATTAAAGAAGGATTAGCAGTGCATGTGAAGTTTGGAATCTTTGATTATGTTAGATTTGACTTAAGCATGTGTGAAACGTATGTTAGCTGTAATGAAGCACTACCAAACACATACATTTCTTTAATGATGTTTTAAGGAACCTTATTAACTTATATTATTGGAAATGCAACCACATGGGATTCCTCTAAGTTTGGATAACTCTTTTTTAATCGGTTTAAATTTTGTCTTGTTCCGTGTTCTTTTTAGTTATGGTCTATTTTCGTCCAATCTTGTCTTGTTTGAGACTCTTTTTAGTTATGGTCTAATTTCGTCCAATCAAATAAATGTATATACGTACGTACATACATAAAGTCAAGTACTTACATGGATTGAGAGATCTCACACTGGTTGGAGAGGAAAACGAAACATTTTTTATACGAGTGTGAAAACCTCTCCCTAACATACGCGTTTTAAAATCGTGAGGCTAACGACGATATGTAACGTGCTAAAGCGAACAATATTTGCTAACTATGATCTCGGTCTGTTACACACTATAGCCCTTTTTTCTTGTACTAAGCAGAAATAATACTATTTCCAACCAAGACTAAATGCAAAAGAAAGTGATGTTTAGGGCAAATCTAAAATGTGAAACAAACGCACAAAGTTGTATGGAAAAAAGTGGAAGAAAGAAGCAATATATTTTGTGGTTCGAGTGCAATCAAGTACAACACTATGACAAATATCTCTCGTTCATTTTGGTCTATTATTGGATATGATCGTACAACAACAATCATTCAATTATTTGTTTCATAAATAAAATTACATTGACTGTCTTTGCACTTGCTCATCATGTTTATCAACATCTAAACTTTTGAAGCTACCAAAAACGTTGTTTTGTTCGTTTCAAAAACATTCCTAATTTTGTCAACCGTCTAAAAAAATTTAGTACAGAAACAAACTAGTTCAAGTATGCATCATTGATGATACACACCCAAACCAGTTGTCTACCTAACCAGTAATCTAAAATCATAACCGGTAACGAATTTGATTCGAGTAATCAATCGAAAATAACATTATTATCGAACGTCTTTCCCCACCTATTCACTTCATCCATCTTTTAGTCCATGAAAAAGGATAAAAGAAACCCAAAAGGAAAGGAAAAAGAACTCATAAAACGGGCTACAAAAGGCATCCTAAAACTTTGTTCGTTGTGCAAAGTTTAAGCTTTTGAAACAACGTGCTAAGATTCTCTACGCATACCAACCTCCAACGAGGTGGAAGCCAAGATGTATCTTACCTTTAATTCAAGATTGTTCGGGTCTGTTTATACTTTAATCTTACTCTTCATGTCGCTATGAGACCGATGAACATGTGAAAATACGAAGAAAATCGATGTTGAATGGGAGAAATGTTATGAAGGAGTGTTGTATAGCAACTAATGGCATAATGGGGTATGAGAGAAAGTGTTATAAGAAGTTATGCAAAAACTAGAACTGAGATTCCAAGCAGTCAATCAAACAAGAGTACACAACAAAATCTAATTGTAAAGTGTTTTTCACCTAAGCTCCTCATCATCATATATCTCTAATGGTGATTTTGAGAGTAGTCAAAGCTGAGGGGTTGCTGGCAGAATGGGGCCTGCAATATAACATACCACCAGATGCTATCATTAGTTCAAAACATTCACAATTATTCATCATTTACAAGTTCTAGCCGAGACTAAACCGAACGTTCATTGAGATCAATGCCAGTTGGTCACAGACGCCTGCAGAGAAACATTGAACCTAATACGAGACCATATCTAACTCGAGATTCTCTCAAACGCTCTAAAAATTCTTTTGTTTCTTTCTTCCCAAAGCCCCCGCGAACATACCCTAGCGTGCCACAAAAACCTTTTATCCTCGTGCAAAGGAACTCCTCAATCATATCTCTCCGTCCTATCTCATCTTATCAATGAAATATTGATTGCTTCCTAAAAACGTCTTTCATCAACATTAGCCCCACCACTAGTAGATATTGTCTTCTTTGGGCTTTCCCTCAAGGTTCTTAAAACGCGTCTACTAGGGAGAGGTTTCCACACCCATATAAACAATGTTTTTTTCTCCTCCCCAACCGATGTGAGCCAAAGCTTCTTATTTTTTATCATAAGATCTCACATCGGTTGGGGAGTAAAACGAAGCATTCTTTTTAAGAGTTTAGAAACCTCTCCCTAGCATACGCGTTTTAAAAACCTTGAGGAAAAGCCCAAAAGGTGAGGCGAAAGGGAAAGCCCAAAGAAGACAATATCGGTTAGTTAGACTATTACATCTCATATCAATCATGAATAAACAAACGAAAAACAATGCTGTGCATCCACAATGCAAAACGATCGAACTTTTTTCTTGGTTTTCGACAAATAATACTTGCAACTTTTAGCGAACGGAAAAGGTAGGTTAATTAAAAGTACCTGAAAAGCAGAATGCCTGAGCTGGTTGTAGGAATGGGCATACATCATCGCAGCACTCTGCCACTGCTCATAAGAAGCGTCTCTAGACGTTCGGTTCATACCCATTGCGGAGAAAGGGCTTACGACAGGACTCGGATGAGGCCCATAGTTAAGTGAAGGTTGAGTTCCTGGTATATGACCCATGAGGGAGTAACCCATATCACATTGTACAAATGGAGGCTGAATTTTTTGCATAGTAAAGGGAGCCAAGCTTAAATTTTGATTGGTTGGAAGGTTCCTAATATACCTGTTTCAACAAAGAATCATTGGCATAACATAGACATAGGCTTAATAGACAGACATTCGGTGCATAAAGATAACAAAAAAGCAAGCCCACCAAACAAGGCCAAGTACACGGACATACCTATCGTAGTTGCGATCATAATCGGGGTCACTACGATCTTTTTCCCTATCTTTGAAAATGGCAACCCGAGAAGTCATGCCATCCCTGCCATTAAATTTTTCAAAATCACCAGCCAAAGTTCTAAAGCCTTCAGTTTCATCCCTGTTCGAGCATGCATATTTTCCTTCAGATGGGGATTGAGATGTTGTATCGTCTAACTCAGGACTACTTGGAGAGCTGAAGATTCGAGCTCGTGCCCTATCGTATTCCTCCTTTCTCTCTTCCACGCTTCGGACAGAATTTTGTTTGAGACCTCCATCATTGGCAGAAGTTTCAGACATTTTGTTAGGCCGAGGTCTGATGACAAATTTGACCTGCTCATTTTTCTCGTTGTCCAATTGCTTCGCAGGTATTTCAGATAACCGCACAGAAGGGAGTCTGTTTTCCACCGTTTTACGAACCAAGATCCTATTTCCAAAACCATCAATGCCGGAGTCCTGAACCATGGTTTGAAGGCCATAATGTTGAGCAACACGATGAGCAGCAAGTCGAAGGTATGATGTAGGAAAATGCTGGAACTCAAAGAGCTGCTGATCCGGATTATGCAAGAACTTCTGGATGTCAAGTTCCATCCGTAAAACTGAAAAGAAATCGTAAATTAACATGTAAATCATTCATATTATTAAAAGAAACCAATGTTCAAATGAAGAAATCCCAATGTCTTGTTCCCCTCTCCAACCGATAAGGGATCTAACAATCCCCCCCCCCCCCCCCCCCCCCCCCCCCCCCCCCCCCCCCCCCCCCCCCCCCCCCCCCCCCCCCCCCCCCCCCCCCCCCCCCCCCCCCCCCCCCCCCCCCCCCCCCCCCCCCCCCCNCCCCCCCCCCCGTTCGGAGCTCACCGTCCTCGTTAGCACACCGCCCGATATTTGGCTCTTATACCATTTATAATGGCCCAAGCACACTGCTAGCAGATATCGTCTTCTTTGGGTTTTCCCTTTCGGACTTCCCTTCAAGGTTTTTAAAACGCATCTGCTAGGGAGAGGTTTCAACACCCTTGTAAAGGGTGTTTCGTTCTCCTCCCCAACCAATGTGGGATCTCACAAAAAATTCCTACTAATTACCAAATATATCATTAAATGCCTATTTGCTGTCTCATAGTGGTATAGATTGTTTAAATCTTTCAAACTCTGTTGGGTTTTGCCTACGACTTGCACCGAGGCCTTTTACGAGCTCATTTCTACAACTTTCTTAGGCAAAAAACAGCTAGAATTCTGCAGTCGGGCTCCATAGTGATGCTTTTATGGAAACATTGGGACAGAAGGACCAAGTCAGGCTGCTTTCTTCTATTTGGTGTGTTCATCATATTGATTTTCGTAACTATAGCTTAACACAAATTATAGCCAATTGAGAATTTTCTGTAATCCCCTTGGTGGGTTGGGGAAATTTCATCTGATTTCTTGTAAATCCATAATCTCTACAATGAAATCATTCTGTTTCCTAAGAAATATGAACCCATAATCATAAGATTTCCCACAAACAAAAAGACAGGAACCTCACAGAGAAAAACAGATCTAACCCAACTACAAGCTTATAGCAAATCCAAATCAAACAAACTAAAAGAACACAAATCGAGAAGCCACCAAATATCGAAAAACCAATACAAACTCGCAAATCGAAATCAATTGATCCCAAGAACAGATTCAAGATTAGGTCAACTGGGCAATTCAACCCCTTAAAAAAAACGAAAGAAATAACAAAAGAACTCACTGGTAAGACGATGACGAGGATTCTGGAGAGCCTCAACCAAGAAGGGATCAACCATTGACTCCTTCTCCTTGAACCCTTGTGGGGTTGGTTCGAAGGAAGCCGATTCCATGGAAAAGAGCTCTGTTTATGATTCAACGAACAAGACTCTGAAACTGTTCGATTCCTGCAAAGGGTTTCTTCTTCCCCTTCTGGGTCAGAGGAGGAGAAGAAGAATAGGAAGAGGTAAGGTGCAGAAACAGGTAAAGGGTTTAATTCTTAGCATCTGGAGGAGAAGGAAAAAGAGAGAG